TAAAACGTTACAACTGACATAAATTTCGTTAGCGTTACAAGTCGCAGCCTCATACCATTTCCAATTCGTATCAGTCAGATTCTTCAGCAAAAATGAATTCATTGAGAATAGGAACAATCCCAGCTGACGATCAACAATCAATACAGTGGAATTTGGTAGCACATGAGCACAAGTTGGCTCCTTCAAAACATCTTTACCAACCCGAATGCTGTCAATATTGTTCCAGTCAATTCTAAACAGACTTACTTTTGAAATAAAGTTTTTTTTAGAAAAGGAAAAGAAAAGGGTAAAGTCAGGATTTCCCCGTCGATTCACCCGTTTTAAACTGCATCAAATAAATATTGTTCATCCATACTAGGGCACCTGTTTGCTTAGTTGATCTCAAAAAATTTATTTCGCTTTGTGTCCTTCCAAAACTATAAAAAAGAAAAAAACAAGTTTATATTTTACCTTGGTCCGTCATCTTCTCGATAAGCGTTATTAAGGTTCGTCGTTTTCATGCTTCCAACCCTTTTTTCCAACTTAATGTCAAAAAAAAAACCATTATTGAATAATAGGAAATAGTAACAGCAAACATTGAACAATACATTTGAAATTTTAGTTTTGACTTTATTACTGGCAAAAAACAGTTATTAAAAGCTATAAAATACATATGCTTACCTCTTTTCCCTTCATATTTACAACATTGTGCAACTCTGCCACTTTTACCATTTCATCGACGGTCTTCTGTCGTAGTTCTTTCTCTTTTTCTAACCTTACTTTTTGTTTAAAGGTTAAAATTGTCTATCAAACAAATTATTTGCCAGTTTTCAACAACACTTCCTCAGTTTATTTGTTCAATAAACGTTTAACCCAGTTATCTGTGAAATTCAATTAAACTTTTTTCCTTCAATTATTATATCCTAAACAATTAACATCCTCCAGAACAGTAATAGAGCTATTTTCTAAAAGCCTACCCCTATATTTTCAATTAGCAATTTATGATCACGTTTTGGCTAAAAAATCAATTGGTCAATTTCAATCATCATCTTTACCTGAATAACATACTTAACAGGAACCTTGTGGACAGTAATTAAAGTCGTTCTACAAAACATTGGCGGAGGGATGAGGTAAAACTGTAATCAAAGAAGCTGAGATGCTCACTTGCAAAGTGCTTCACGTTGTTGTTCCACTAAAACATCCGTACGATGGCAGAGGTCAGAGAGTAAATTCATTGTTTCTTCAGCATCTGCGTGAAGCTTCTTCTCGTATTCGTTAACATCAAACTCTTCAGGCGTATCTTCGACACGAATCCACTGGATATCATCCATTGATTCTTCAACACCCGGTTTTTTGTTTTCATCTGTCTAGAACTATGCTACAGATTAATACTTGGACGTATGTATGTGAAAACAGTTTGCATCTAAATAAAGCAATTAACGATTGCATTTATGCCATAGTTCCATGTAAAATTTACCTACTTCATTCGTTTCAATCTACCCATTTTTTTCATGAGGCTTCCAAAAAACTACTGTTTTGCAATTTGAAAGAAAGCAGAAAATTTTGTAGTATTATCAGTATTATAATTACTTTTTTTTTTTGATCTATAAAATGTTCAAAATAGATAAAGACAAAAAGAATTATTATTAAAATCTCAAAAAGTTATATATATTTCCTTATAACAGACAAAAACATATTGTGGCAGATTAATCAGCTTTATTTTTTTGCTTCTTTTGCACTAACTTTTTTTTTTATTATATTAGCAGAGATTTAAAAAAAAAAAAACATTGTGTGAAAAAAAAAACAATGTTGATTTCCTTTTTTGAACTGTCAATTTTAAAAAAAACAAAAACGATCATAACAATAACTGTAGAAGTCTCACCTGTTTGTTGTCTTCCAAACTGGTACCATTTAATTCAGTGCTCATAATCGTTACAAAGCACAACACAAAACTGATAAAGTTTCAAAAATTTAAGGTGACAAAAAAAAAGTCGAGACTGAAAAAAAAACAATAACAAAAGATAGAAACAATAAAAAACAAAAACAACAACGATAGTTTAATTAGAAGAGAGTTAAAAACAAAAACACTGTGTGAACCGAATACACCTTGCAGTGGGCGAGCAGTTTGCTAAACTGATCTACCAGCTGTTATCGCATTTTTGAAGCTTGCTTGCTTTGCTTTTTGCTTGCTTATTTGCTTGCTTGCTTTCTTGCCTGGTTCGGTTTAACAAAAAAAAAAAAAA